TGATGCTGCTTGGCCTGCTGTGTTCATCCAGCTCTACACCTTGTTATCTCAGATTCTCCAGCATCTGCAGTTCCTACTATCTCTGGAAACCTTGAGGTCAGATTTCAAAGCAGGAAGTACATCTGTGATCCTTTCAATGGCACTAAGGTAACAATACTAGTACGTACAACTCCTGTGCTGTCATAGCTATTTGTAATTTTTGCTAACACTCATAAAAATCTCAACTTGTAGTTGCATTTGTCCACTTAAGAAATATTTCAATTTCAGAAGATGAATCTGGGAGGAAGAGGGAAAATACTAAATGTAGACCATGCATCTCCTTATGGTTAACAACACAAAAGGCTAGTTCAAGGCCACCATCCTAAGGTTCTTTAACCCAACCTGTCTCCTAGACATGGTTACATGCAGAACTGGCAGTGACCTAGGACCATGATATCGTATTCTCTTTGCCGGGCAATGATGTGAATAAAGGGAAAGACAACTACAAAACAAAAAATGTGGAATTGTATGTGAAACAAAGTTATCATATCTCTATGAAAATAATCTCTTATTAATGGTTCTCTTCATTAGGGTTAAAATTCTTCAATCAGCTGAAATTACTAAATTTCCTCTAATGGGAACAGTCTTTGTGGTAGCAAAAGACATAAACAAGAGAGGGATGAAAAAGCATTGGAAACATACATCCAGAATCTGAAGATTTAACACAAAAAAATCTGTGTTTACTTTCCTTATTTACTTCTCTCCTTGTTAAGTCCTTGATTCTCTTTTTAAAATTTGACATTTTTCCAGAAGTATTAATGTTTAATAATTGCAGCTGCTCAAATTATAACACAGATTACATGATACAATGGAAAACTATGGATAGATGAGTTTGTTCAGGACTTCTTCATTTCTTTGCCCTCCAAATCAGGAAAACACAGTGCTGAGCAATGTTCCAAAGCCGTAAGTGTATATTAGCCTGAATCCAGTGCAAATCTAACTTTGAAAGTGCTTTTTATTTTGGCCACATTTTGTGCCAAGAAAACAGATTAGCCATTGAGTTTGGCTTGCTACAACAATTCATTTAAAATACAATTCTCCAAAAACTACAGAAAACAAAAGTTTTAAAAATTCATAGCAATTTTGGCCCAGAAATTAAAACATGCACCAAATTTTCCATTACCAATCTGTGTAAGACATGCTTTAAAAATTACAATTTTCCGATTAACCATTTTTACATGTGACTTTTAATGATCAACAGAAGAAAATGCCTATCATACTATTTACAGATAAAGGTAGCCTACCCAGTAGACCAGGTTAAACAAACCAAAAGCTGTAGGGAAGAAGATACGAGCATACGAGTCAACTTTGGTGATACGGATGTGTAATCTCCCCTGCCTCCATGCTCCTGTGCGACACTCGTCAAAACAGCAAAAGAAACTGGTGCAGTCTTTGCCATCCAGACACTCGTATCCATATTCTTCATCCCTCTCTTGCAGGTGTGAGGCATTGTTCATTTGGACAGCGGATGATCCAGGGCGGATATCCACAGTAGGCGCCTATAATTATTACAAGCAAAATAAATTAATTTGGTTATTGAGGGGAATAAAGCATATTATAAAGAAAATTTGTCCAGTTCTCTGCTCTTTTAAGATGGAGAATGTCCTTGCTGATAAGATTTCCAATATCGAGCAAGATTTGAGAGTGATTGTGGTTCGACACGGGATTAAGTTTCCTGAATTGCATCTCGAATGTGCCTTGGCCTGACACTTCAAAGGTAATACTTCATTCAGATTTTGTTTTAAAAAGTCTAAGCTGTGTGCACACACCCATTAGAAACAAAATTTAACTTTTTGGCATCACACAGCATGTCTACTCTTTCAGAATATGTTACTGAGGGAATGCTGTACTGTCAGTGACCAATTCTGTCCTGTCAGCAACATATCCCCTGGGCTAAATTCAAGTTAATTAGTATCACTTGAAAATACCCAGTTACTAAACAGTAAATGTTAACTTGTGCACACAGCTTCCAAATAGTGCCGCAAACACCCACCATCCAACAGTCCTCCTTTCCTCAAGCTGGCTGGTCAGGTATCTGTAGTCAGCTCCATCTCACACTGGTAAGTTTGAATTTTATTTTGAAATAATTATCATTCGTTGAACGTTTGAATTCTAGTTCGAAATAATTATTGTTCGTTATAGGTAGGTTTGAATTTTAGTTTGAAAAAATTATCGTTCGTTATAGGGAGGTTTGAATTTTAGTTTGAAATAATTATTGTTCGTTATAGATAGGTTTGAATTTTAGTTTGAAATAATTATTGTTCGTTATAGAACACCATTGGAAAACAGCACACAGGCATGTAGTGTAATCATGCTAAGCATTCATTCATGAGCTTCACCTATCAAAGTTATACTATTTTTAAAATTCAGTTTGAGAGGTTTGAGAGGTTACATAGATATTTGGAGTTGGGGACTAAGTGTGGTGTGTCAAAATTTGTAGATGACACTAAGGTGAGTGGTAGAGCAAAGTGTGCAGAAGACACTGAAAGTCTGCAGAGGGATATAGGTAGCCTAAGTGAGTGGGCAAAGGTCTGGCAGATAGAGTACAATGTTGATAAGTGTGAGGTCATCCATTTTGGTAGGAATAACAGCAAAATGAACTATGTTTTAAATGGTAAAAAATTGCAGCACGCTGCTGTGCAGAGGGACTTGGGTGTCCTTGTGCATGAATCACTAAAAGTAGGATTGCAGGTGCAGCAGGTAATTAAAAAGGCAAATGGAATTTTGTCTGCCATTGCTCGAGGGATGGAGTTTAAAAACAGGGAGGCTATGCTGCAGCTGTATAGGGTCCTGGTGAGGCCACACCTGGAGTACTGTGTGCACTTTTGGTCTCCTTACTTGAGAAGAGATATACTCGCACTGGAGGGGGTGCAGAGGAGATTCACTCAGTTGATTCCAGAGTTGAGACGGTTGGATTATGAGGAGAGACTGAGTAGACTGGGATTATACTCATTGGAATTCAGAAGAATGAGGGGAGATCTTACAGAAACGTATAAGATTATGAAGGGAATAGATAAGGTGGAGGCAGGGAGATTGTTTCTGCTAGCAGGTGAAACTAGGACTAGAGGGCATCACCTCAAAATAAAGGGAAGCAGATGTAGGACTGAGGTCAGGAGGAACTTCTTCACCCAAAGGGTTGTGAATCTGTGGAATTCCCTGCCCAGTGAAGTGGTTGAAGCTACCTCTCTGAAAGTTTTTAAGGCAAGGCTAGATAAATTTTTAAACAGTAAAGGAATTAAGGGTTATGGTGAGTGGGCGGGTAAGTGGAGCTGAGTCTCAAAAAGATCAGCCATGATCTTATTAAATGGTGGGGCAGGCTCGAGGGGCCAGATGGCCTACTCCTGCTCCTAGTTCTTATGTTCTTATGAGAGGTTGGTAACTACTATGTCTTGAATCATACATTGTGGGTGATTTTTTGTTTTGTATTTTTGGGCACTTTTGTCCATTAGCCAACAATTTGCCTGAATTTTAAGATGAAATAATAAATGACATTGTACAGAATTGCTTTTAACAATAAGTTAATGCAGTAATGCTGACTTCTGCTGAAATTTGAGATCTTTATCATAATACTTAAAAATTAATCAATCTTTTACGTTTGGCCAGTAAGGCCTGTTGAAGACGCGTAGGAAAAAAGAAACAAACTGCATCTTCGCTACATTCTTCACATATTTCTGTCTCCCACGATCTTAAACAGGGTTAGGCTGCCTGTCCTAGAGAAGAAGGGGTCTAACTTAAGTAAGGAAGTTGTAGCCGGATGACATGATTGATTAGGACTAAAGGTACCATTTAACCACATCCTAACTATGGTTGCTTCAATCTTGGACCTGCCAACAAGACTGACATGATGTCATACCATTGCTCCTCAAGTCACCATAGTCATCTGTGTTGTATTACTGGATCCTTTAACTCTGCCACAGGGGACACCATTCCCATCTCTCAGGCTGCAGTTCTAAGCTGCATTAAACAGGTTATAAATGTCCTCTTTGCAAAGGACAAGGAGTTTTTCATCATCTGCACTTTCTTGACATTCAACAGGGAAAAGTTTTAAGTTTCATATTGGTACCTGGTTTCCCTGCATGCCTAGTGTGATTAATTGCACATAGTATAGCCTTAAATTTCCAACATAATGTACTTGCAAATACAGCTTCCTGTTGGGTATGAAGCACCCTGAATAAGCTTTATTGGGAAAATTAAATAGTATGCAATTATGTTTGAAATAAAAGACAGCCTTGGAATCTTCCCAAATGGGTTTCAATCAATTCTGCGGTAAAACTGAAATTTTACACAATTCATTATAGTAGCTCACAGCATGTATTTATAAAAATACCCCTCCTACTTTCCTGTGTAATAGATGTCTTTTTAGGAAAGTTTTTAATTATAGAAAAGATTACTGATTTCAGGCATTATTAATAATAAGAAAAGCCGAAGGATGCAAGAATAGCTTGATCTAAAATTACAATGCAGTACAATTAGTAACATAAAAATCAACTTAGATTTTTTTAAAAATCCTACTATAGAATCATAGAATCCCTATAGGGCAGAAGGAGGCCATTTGGCCCATCAGGTCCACACCAACCCTCTAAGAGAATCCCATCCAGACCCCCCAACCTAGCCTGTACGTCACTAGGCACTATGGGCAATTTAGCATGGCCAATCCACTTAATCTGCACATCTTTAGACTGTGACGAAACTGGAGCACCCGGAGGAAACCCATGCTGACACGGGGAGAATGTGCAAACTTCATGCAGACAGGATATACAAGATTATACAAGAATAAGAATTCAAGATGTTTTGGAAGTTGTAGATTTATCTGATCTGATTGACATTTGTGATGAAATCTAGCAAATCAGCTGGAAAAAGCAAATTCACTCTGAGGGACAGACTGGAGAAAGATTCAATAGAGAACAGAAGTTCTTTTTTTTAATTTTTAGGACACTCATCGTCTCCTTGAGGAAGTCCATTCACTAAAATAAGTGCCCAATCTTTAATGCATAAATGAGGATAATTAGCATTTAATTATTCTAAATTATTTTTGAGTGATATTTGCACATAAATTTCCATACATAATTTTTTTTGAGTTTAGGAAGCAAGAGAGCATCTCCTTTATTAAATTACCCCGGATTAAAAACACTATCTTTAGCTGTGAGGACCTTTGGTATAATGTTGTTATATCAAGTACGATTCACTTATTAATGTTTTTCCAAGATGTGATGAGTAGCAATTTTAAAAGGCTTTTTGTTTGTAGTTTTGTTGCAGACTAGAATTCCTCTCTGTTGAAGTAAAGACAAAGCCAGGAAAAAGCAGAGAGCCCTGAACTCACCCTGATGGAGGATGGATGCATAAAGGGATTGCATGTCCATGGGGAAGAAAAGATGGCTGGTGCCTGCAAATTGGAAATTTTAAAAGCAATGAATTGCAGAAGCGGGGAGGGACTGGACAAGGAGGGAAAAAAAAATTGAGTTGAGGTAGGAAGAAATAAAGTTCCACAGAGGAACAGGCAGAAACAATGGATCTCCCCAGGCAGTCCTCTTTGTGCATTTTGAGAAGACAGCAGAAGCAGGCTATAAGGGTTTAGTGGACTATCAGCTGGAAGGTTGTCCAAGGGAGATCCCTAGATGAGACGAGGTTGGTGACAGTTGTGGACTCAATGGCCTCAAGCTTGGTGGGGTCTTGGTCTCGGGGAGATAAGAGAGCTGGTGCTCAGTCTCCACAATATAGAGGTCAGTCTGCCAGACAACAACAGCACCCCCTTTGTCTGCGGGCTTGATTACAAATGCTGTAGCTGATTTCAAATGACACTGATAAGCCCTTGCATTCGTAAATCGGGTTCCCATCCTGTCAGGAATTAAATCCAAAACATTCCACTCTAAATTTCCAAACACTTAATATTGTTATTGTTTATCCTCTAATCTTTCTAATCAGAATACAATATTTAACTTAAACTGCATATTGATGTCTTGCTTTGAAAAAAAGTTAGAGTTTAAGATAAAACACACTGGCTGGAAAAAAAAACAGCCTTAAAAATAGCGCTGATGGTTAGTTTCCAGTTACAGAAATCAGATGTGCTTTTGTAGAAATGAAAACCGTCTTTAGAGTAAAGAGTTAATTGTATCTTTTCTCCAAGATGAGCTACTGAGTATGTGCAAAAGGAGGTGTGTCATAGTGGTGGCAGACAACATGGATCTGGAGTTTCAATAAGACCTCAGGTCCTCTCTTGCTATGACTTGTAAAAACAGTTCTGTTAATATAGCCTGTTAGAGCTCACTGTAAGATTATGAAATTCACATTTCTACTTGATGGCTTACAGTGACCAGAATTATAAAACTAGAGCCAAGATGTGAGAAAAGACTGAAGTGAACTCCAGCAATAGTAGCTGTTATGGGTAAACCATGAGGTCAGCCTAGCAATTTGATCCCATCTGCAGTGGTAGTTTACCTGAAGATGAAGTATCAACCTGGTGAAGCCACCAAACAGGACTACTTGCACACCAAACAGCAAA